TCCTCCTCCTCCTCCTCCTCCTCCTCCTCCTCCTCCTGCATATCAGCTCCTGGCGTGTCCGGCTGTGAGAGTGCCTGAACGTACGACCTGAACCTGTGGAGACCGAGCGTTCCCCAGCGGCTGGCTCCTCCCTGGGGCGCCCGAGTGCCATGCCTGCTACCTCGCGGTCATCTCGGGGCTCAGAGAAGAAATCCCACCAGCCCTCTGGGCGTCGGTGGTTTAGAGCGTTTTCTCTTCCTCCGAGGGGTTTATCACTGTTCCCTATTAATAAACACCCCCTCCCCCAGGCGACTGGGGGCCAACCAGGGTCCATGCCGACCCCCCCCCACACCATCCCTTGCAAACAAACAATACAAAACACACTCTGCCTCCAAATTCGGAACATGCGCAGCCAACCCGATGCGGCCCCCCCACCGCCATCCCTGTCAAAAAACAATACAAAATACACTTGGCTGCGGCGGCGGCTGCGGCGGCGGTGGCGGCGGTTGCGGCGGCGGCGGTGGCGGCGGCAGGGGGCGGCGGCGGCGGCGGCGGCGGCGGCGGCGGTGCGGTGGCGGCAGCGGCTGCGGCGGCGGCGGCGGTTTGGCAGGGAGGGGCTGGCGGCGGGCGGCGGCGGCGGCGGCGGCGCGGCGGCGGCGGGGCGGCGGCGGCGGCGGCGGCGGCGGCGGCGGGCAGCGCGGCGGCGGCGGCGGCGGGCACGGCGGCGGCGGCGGCGGCGGCGGGCGGCGGCGGCGGCGACGCCGGAGGCGGCGGCGGCGGCGGCGGCGGATTCGCCCCTAGCAGCTGCCCATCCAAAGACGACTGCTGAATATGCTGAGGCTCGGGCCAGACTCGGGTGCTACGTATGTGTTTGGAGGGCGGGTGGGAGTGAGCGAGACGGCTTGCGGGCGGGGATGAGGTAACTTGACCCCTCCCCCTACCCCCTCCCCATGGACCTGGACGGGGGGGTTCGCGAGGTGTCGGAGCGTCCAAAACGGCCTCGGCAGGAAGCCGAAATCATTGATTTTACTCTGGGTTTGGGCCCCATTGTGGCCTCAGTGGTCGGGGGTGCCAACGCCCGCGTTTCGCCTGAGACGGCACTACAATCTGGCCGCGAGAGGCACGTGCAGCGCCGCTGGGCGGTTCTCCCCCCCTGGGGTGCCCCTTTGTGCTCTGCACCTGGGCGTGAGCAGTCTGAGGGTGGCGAGTGCGAGTGCGAGCGAGCCCGAGTGCGAGTGGGTCTGAGCGCGAGGGAGCCCGAGCGCTGTGGGGTCGGACTTAGCATGGGAGATAGGAATGCGAGGAGCAGGGTTGACGAGGACGAGGGTGACGACCCCTTCTGTCACAGAAGGCCTCCAGAAAAGGACCCCTTCTGTCACAGAAGGGCCAACCGGTCCCTTGATTAAGGCGTTTGGAGTATGGGTGCGTCTGAGCAGGAAGGAATATGAATGCCAGCGGGTCTGAGTCCGTGCGGTCGAAAGATTAAGGTCACGAGTATGGGTGGTTCCGAGCGTGGCCGAGTTCGAGTGGGAATGAGCCATGTGCGGATGGTCTGTGTGCATGAATCTGGGTACGACTGATCTGAGTCACTGGGGATCTGAATGTGAGTAGGGAGAGAAGGCGGGAAGGAGGAGGAAGGAGGGATGTGCCTCGACGCCAAGCGAGCGAACCACGCGAGACGTCCTCACAATCTGCGCGCAAACAGGCGAGTGTCATAACCACTGGCGGCTCCTTTCGTGGGGTGCCAATGTGCCACGCCTGGTATATCGGTGTGAGACTCTGAAAACAACGGTGTCTGGGGGAGGGGGGGGGAGAGGGAAGCACCACTTCAGCTCAGACGTCCACGCAATCTGACCCCGAACGGGCAGGTGTCCTGCCCCCTGGCGGCTCCTCCTTGGGGTCCCGCATGCCACGCCTGCCATGTCGCGGCGGTCCTGATGCTCTTGCAGGAGAGAAGTCCCCTGGCGGCTCCTCCTTGGGGTCCCGAATGCCGAGCCTGCTATATCGCGGCGGTCCTGATGCCCTTGCAGGAGAGAAGTCTGGGGGTCTGGGGGGGGGGCAGAAGCAGCAAACCGCAGGAGACGTCCCCACATCCTGACCGCGAGCGGGCGAGTGCCACATCCCCTGGCCCCTAGCGGCTCCTCCCTGGGGGTGCCCCAGTGCCACGCCTGACATCTCGCGGTGGTCACGAGAGAGAAGACATCTGGGGGGGGGGGGGGGGGGCAAAAACTGCAAAATCGCCTGAGACATCCCCGCAATCTGACCGCGAATGGGCGAGTGTCCTACGCCGTGGCGGCTTCCCCTTGGGGTGTGCAAGTACCACGCCTGCTTTGTCGCGGGAAGCCTAGTACGAGTGTGAATGCATCAGAATATGAGTGGTCTGAATATGAGTGAATATGTACCTGAGTGAGTCTCCGAAAATCTGAATATGAATGAGTTTCATACGCGAGCGTCAACGTCGGGTGCGAGTGCATTCGAATGTGAGTCAGTCTTCGCGTGACTGAGTCTGAGTGTGAACTAGTCTGAGTGCGAGCGAAGTCTGAGTGTGCGTCAATAGATGTCTGACTCTGGCTATGACTAGGCACTGTATGGGTGCATCTGCGCATGAATGGTCCTAATATCGGTGAGTCTGAGAGGATGACTGAGTACGGGAAGAGAGAAGAGGAGGTAAGGAGGACGTGAGGAGGCAGAGGAGCTGGATGCGCCACACACACAAACAATGACTCTACCTGCGGACATAGGAAATGAATCCGGCGCGACCCCAATTGGGCGAAAGCTTCCTATTGCATGGGAGCAGTGCTTGGCATTGCTTAGCATTGCTTGGCATTGCTTCGCAGTGCTTAACATTGCTTGTCATTGCTTCGCATTGCTTGGCGTTGCTTGGCATTGCTTGGCATGAGGCACCGGGGGAGGGGAACCCGGGGAACCCTGGGCTTGGCAGTGCTTCGCATTGCTTGGCATTGTTTGGCATTGCTTGGCATTGCTTGGCAGTGTTTGGCATTGTGTGACAGTGCTTGCCATTGCTTGGCATTGTGTGGCATTGCTTGTCATTGCTTGGCATTGCTTGACATGGCTTCGCATTGCTTGGCATGAGGCACCCGGGGTGGGGCAAGAAGTTGAACTGACAGGCGGGCGGTTGGGCAGGCAGACAGACACAGGGACAGAGCGAACCAATCAGAGACGAAAGCAGAGACGGAGACACGGACTCCGAACTCGAGGACGGACAGACGGGCAGAGACAGACGGGCAGAGAAGCACGCCAGGCGGCCTTCTCAGGGCCAGCGCCACCGCCAGAGCGAGGTGTGCGACCTGAGGCGGCCAGGAAATGGGGCGAGGGGATGGGGGAGCGGAAAGTGGTCGAACGCGGCCCGACTCTTGACCGCAAGCCCGCCCTCTCCAGGGCGACCGCGCGACCTCCCAGTGGAAAGAGCGGACGAGAAACGCCCACGAGGCAAGGGAAGAGAGAGGGCAGATGGAACGAACGAGCGTTCCCTCACTCTGAACTCCTCTTCCAAGTCTGCTAGTAAGATGTGCACGTGTGGGTAAACGTAGGCATCTAGAGTTGTTGTCAGTAGACGTATGCACGTGTATATACATAGACACATATCTGTGTGTATGTGGACAGTTCCCAGAACAAGTCCGACACATCGTTTTCAGATGTGTTAACGGTGTTGTTATCTCCTATTCCTCTCTGTTCGTTCCCTCCTCCGCCGAATCCTCTTGCTCTGCGTCCTTCTCCTTGATATCCTCCTCTCCGTGACACGTCTCTTGCTCCTCTTTCTGCTGATGGGGGTCTTCCTTTTGCTGCGGCTCCTCCACAACCGCCTTTCTTCGCGCTCGTCTCTTCCTCCTCCTCCTCCACTTCCTCGTCCGATGAGGTAGGGGACACAGAGACAGAAAGAGAGAGAGAGAGAGAGAAAACAAAAAAGAGAGAGAGAGAGAGAGAGAGACTCGAGCGAGCAACGATCCCTGCGCCACCCCCTGTTGTTTGGGGGGCTCTGGAGTTCATCGCTCTGAAGGGCCTCGGCGTGGATTTTCGTTGGAGGATGCACCCCCCCCCCCCGAACCCCCCCCAAACAAAAACAACGACATCGCAAGGGCTCTGGGATCATCATATTAGAATCGCAACCAACCAAATGGTCTAGCAAGTTGTGGCGCCCCCTACTTCACACACCTTGCCATCTCACAGGGATCGCTGCTCCGTCTGGTTACTCGCTCGCTCTCTCCCCCTCTCTCTCTCTCTCGCTGCCTGCCCCTCTGCCTCATCGGAGGAGGAAGAGGAGGAGGAGGAGGAGGAGGAGGAGGAGGAGGAGGAGGAGGAGGAGGAGGAGAAGGAGGAGGAGGAGGAGGAGGCGGGGGAGGAGGAGGGGGAGGAGGAGGAGGAGGAGATGGAGGAGGACGATGAGGCAGATGATCAGGAGGAGAAGGGGGTCTCTTCCTCCTCCGATGAAGCAGACGGACAGCAAGCGGGATCAGCGATCCCTGTGAAGTTAGATGGTTTGCAAAGTAGGGGGACCCCAAACCCTGTGATGTCAGTTGGATTCGGGGGGTGTTTGTTATGAGAGTCCCAGGAACTCTGTGATGTCATTGGTTGTGTTGGTGCTGTGGATGCTTATGGCTTCTGGAAATCATAGCTCTGGAGGGCTGCAGCAACCTGGATTTTCGCTGGAGGATGCAACTCCACAGCATCCTAAACACCAACCTGAAAACATAAGGGCTTTGGGATTATGATACCAGAGATCAGACAATCCAAGTGGTATCACAGGGTGTGGCGCCCCGAGCTTCGCAAACATTGCAATTTCACAGGGATCCATGCTCCCTCTACTCTCTCTCTCTCTCTCTCTCTCTCTCTCTCTCTCTCTCTCTCTCTCTAGCTCACTCTCTCCCTCTCAATCTGCCCCTCTGTCGAAGGGGAGGAGGCGGAGGAGGAGAAGGAGGAGGATCAGGAGGAGGAGGAGAAGGGAAAGGAAAAGGAGACGAGCACCAAGGAAGGAGGACGGGGAGACGCAGGAGGGTTCGCAGTAGCAGGGAGGGGGGGAGAGAGAAGTAACAGGAAGAGGAGGATTAGATGGCGGAGGACGCAGAACAAGGGGAATATAGGGAGGAAGCAGAGAAGGGAATGAACGGAGAGGACGACGAGAGAGGAACATCGTCAACAGAAAAGAACTGATCAGTACGTGATGGGGAGCTGTGCATACATGCCAATGATATATGAATGCGTGTCAGTGTATATATATATACATATTTATATATATATATGTTCCAGGTTGAAGTTACTGCCAGGCCAGGATGTTTTCCTCATCAGTGTCGCTGAATCGATCTGTGTGCTGCGAGTGCCGAGAGCCACCAGCGCTCGAGTGCCGAGACCAGCACCCGGAGAGAAACAAGCTGAACAGGATATACAGTATCAGCTAGAACCCCTGCAGGTTAAGCTTCTCGCCCTTAAAAGGCGGCTGAGAGGGAGGTTTGGGGAGGCAGAGTGCATAGCATTAAAACGGAGTCTGTGGGTGCTTGAAGCCAGAACGATTACGGAGAGAGAAGCGGCCCTCACGTCACACTCGCCAGAACAATAGCATGTGAACAAGCGTCAATGTTCCAGGTTGAAGTTACTGCCAGGCCAGGATGTTTTCCTCATCAGTGTCGCTGAATCGATCTGTGCGCTGCGAGTGCCGAGAGCCACCAGCGCTCGAGTGCCGAGACCAGCACCCGGAGAGAAACAAGCTGAACAGGATATACAGTATCAGCTAGAACCCCAAGACCGCCTTTTTCTTCCAAAAATAAACCCTGGTATTTACCGCAGCCCCTCACTTTATTCCCAATGCTTAAACCGAGTGGAATGAATTGAGAACGAGAAGGCGGTGACGATTTGTCGGCACAGCCTTGGCGGGTATGGCTCAGTCTCCAGTGTACGATGCCGACCAGACACATCATAGCCCTGCAGGTAGATATGTGGTCGGCCGCTGAATTCACAAACTTTGCGGCCAGCACAGAGACGATGAAGATGGCCAAGGTGAACGTTAGCTGAGACAAAACGCGTGCGCTTCCGCCAAGGCATCCCGTAGACGCAGCAATCGATGACCGCGGTTTCGACATCTGACAGCCTCAGAAGTTGTTGCCAACAAGGGAGCCTCCAGAGACGACTTGCACGGGGGTTCTCGATGGTGACCGGGATGCCTTGGGACCGAGCGAGCCTAAAGAGCCCTGCTGAAAGAGAGGCCAAGTAGTTTCCCTCCTCAACGCGAGCACGAAACCGAGGAGGCAGCCCAGGGACACCATCTGGATGAAGAGCTGTTCGCCACCCTTCTCGATTTGCGGCCGAAAACGTCGTACAGGGCGCCCCCAGCCAGAGGGCCACGACAAGGCCCGAGCGGAGCCATCCCCGGATAAGCTGACCCAAGGTTTTGTTGTTTAGGTCGTGGGATGGCCCGGCCCGAGTATCGATCGAGACTGGGAACCCTGACAAGGACCTGCACGAGCGCCAGGCCGCACTCCAGCGCGCCTGGCCAGCGAAGAGCTCTAGGGCAAACCGGCCTCCACGAGGAGCCGCTGTGCGAGGAGCGGTTGTAGACTGAGCCAATGCGCTCCGCGCAGAGGTTGGCCGCCGCCTGCACGACTAGGCTGAGGCGGTGCACCTGCTCGTTGAGACGCCCCGCCTTCACGTAGCGTTGCAGGGAGGCGTCGGAGTCCCAGCGGCCCCGCTTTTTCACCCCGAGCAGGTCTCGGCTCCCGGAGTGGATCTCGTGAGAGGCACCTCCGTGACGAAGCTGGTAGATCGTCAGCGGCATCAGGGGGCCGAGGTCGAGCTCGCTCACGGCGCTCCTGAAGTGACTCGTCCACTTTACGTAGTCGATGGTGGTCATCAGCTCGGGCAGCGGGCCGCGCGCGCGTAGGTACTCCAGCACGGCGTCCATCCACTTGAACTCCGAGTTGTCGTTCATCAGTGATTCGTCGTAGGCATGCGTCTTGCTCGGAGTCTCCCCCTCTAGGGGGTTCAGGAGGATCCCCCAGTGCCGCAGCCGTAGGGGACCTCGAGCCACCGGTGGAATCAGGTCCTTTCGGCGGGCTCGGAGCAGCTCCGAGGGCCGGCAGTAGAACACGAAGTTGAGAAGCGTCAGAAGGCCGGCGTCCACGTTCTTGCAAGCAACCATCTTGACAACTAGGAGCGCCACCACCACCCATGGAAGAGGCAGGCGAGCCCGCTTCGGCGCCAGGCGCCCGAAGCCACGCAGGGCGGCCCGCGCCCGGGGGAGCTCTGGGGTCCTCCGCGACAGGCGGTAAGACTCCAGATGAGCCAGGGCGGCCAGCAGCGCTGAGGCCCTGTCGACCACCTCCCCGTTGAAGAAGAGGTCGTGGAAGTACTGGGCCAGGCCGACGTCGAGCTCGGACACGGTGCTCAGGGCGATCCCCATGACCAGACACCAGCTCTTGAACTCCTGCACCATCGCAATGTACCGCGCCCGCTGTTGAGGCTTGATTACGCTGTGCTCGAGGAAGGACGACCCGGCCAGAGGACCGACGGCCGCGCTCGTCGGATGAGCCCGACGCCGGGCGGCACGGCGGTCGGCACGACGGGCCCCCTCCAGTGCTGGGCGGCTCAAAGCCCCGCGTCCCGACCCGGCCGGCCTCGCTGCAGCAGCCGGCCGCTTCCTCGAGGCCGCCTGCCGGGAGGGCGAGGGCGCCACAGCTGACCGAGGCAGCGTCAGCGGCGCCGAAGGCCCCGGCGAGGGCCCGGCCGGCGGCCCTGACTCGCCGTTCGCGGACATCAGGGCGCTGCCAGGCAGCCGGAGCATCAAGCCCCGGCGGGGCGTCCAGCTGCTCGAGACCAGGCGGGGGTGGGACGGCTGGCGCGGCGACCCTCGGGACTCGCGAAGTGACCGTTCGGGCCGAGGCGGCCCCCTGAGCAAACCTCTGTCCACGAGATCCGGGATCTCCTGCATTGTGCTCCGAAGGGACCCATCTCCAGACGTGGTACGAGAACGAGGCCAGTGCTAGAGCGCCATGCTGTCGACAAACTCGTAACATCAGCCTCGTCGAAGACCGGCCCTTGGTGACCGCGAGGATGGGCGCCATCGAGTCTCCGAGGTGGAGGTGCCTACGGCCGAAGCTTCGGAGTGCCCGGACCTTCCGCTTCACGTCCCAGACCATCGCTCTTCCCTCAAGACACACCTGGGGTTCCGGGCGCCGCCAGGCTCTGGACTCCGTGAGGACCCAAGGGGCATCCCACAGAGCCTCAGGAACCGGGGGAACCAGACCCACGGGGATATCAGGAGGGGAGTCCCGATGGTGACCTCCAAGGCGCTGTGCGAGGA